TCCCCCTGCCACTTTCCCCACTTCTGCGGGGGAGCGGCACACCGCCGGCCGGCTCTCTCGGGGGCTGCTCAGGTGTTCCTCTTAGATATTCCTGGTGCATGTTGTCTCTCTCCTCCTTTATAGTCCTCTTCCGCCAATCCCAACTCTGCTACCCACATGCCGAGTACACTGCTCTCCTCCAATCAGGAGCAGGATCAGCTCCTGGAGGTCATCACTCAAGTTAGTGAGAGGCAGCTGTGTAGAAGCTGTTTACTCCTCTCCCAGCGCCATATTGTGGGAGAGCAGATGCATAGAATAAGTCTTAATTCCAGTAACTTAGTTTAGTCTGAGTTGCTCCCCATAGGCAAGGAACCGAAAGTGTGCTGTTCTCAGAAGTGAAACACATCCCTTCCACTGTATTTGCTTGACCAGAGTCATTTTTCTGCCCTTCTCTGACTTTTTCCAGAGTGAGAGTGGGAGTATGTGATCCTCTCACAGGAAACAAAACTGAAAATGAGTGGGTAGTGGTCCCCACACATGGATATTTCTCTCCTCTAACATGTATCTTAACCACATTTCATACTCAATAACACAGCCCTAAAGTGCCATCTATTTATCACTATGCACTCAAATTTAGAATCTGAGTGATACCAGGAAATTATGTTATGTCCAGATGTGCCTTTTCTTGATCCATAGACCTGCAAGTTAAGCAGAAAGTTATCCATTTCTCTGGACCCAATGTGCAGGCATAGAGCACAAACAGCATAGTCACTGTAACCATTCAATTTTTAGAATTTTATTGAAAAGAAAAAGAAGGGCCAGCACTGTGGCATAGCAGGTAAAGCCGATGCCTGCAGTGCCAGCATCCCTTGTGGGCACTGGTTCAAGTCCTGGCTGCTCCGCTTCCAATCCAGCTCTCTGCTATGGCCTGGGAAAGCAATAGAAGACAGCCCAAATCCTTGGTCCCCTGCACCCATGTGGGAAGACCCAGAGGAAGCTCCAGGCTCCTGGCTTCCGATTGGTGTAGCTCCAGCCATTGCAGCCAACTGGGGAGTGAACCGGTGGATTGAAGACCTCTCTCTCTCTATCTCTCTGCTTCTCCTCTCTCTCTGTAACTCTGGCTTTCAAATAAATAATAAATAAATATTTAAAAATGTATTTATTGATTTTTCTTAGAGAAATAAGAAGACAAAGAAAGTTCCCATCAACTGCTTCACTCCCCAAATGCCTATAGTGACTGGGGCTGGGGCTAGGCAGGTAAAAACCTGGAGTCACAAAGTTGATCCAGGTCTCCATGTGACTGACCATCACTTGAATCATACACTTCCGGCACTAGAAGGAAGCTAGAGTCAGGGACCAGATGTGAGAATCAAACTTAGGCACTGTAATGTAGGACATGGGCATCCTAGTTGCTTTGCTAATTTCACACTCTGATATGATGATTTTATATTACTTTTATATTCTAATTTATTGAATCATCCTGATAGTAGTTTTCAGGAGATCATCTGGGTCTTGCAGGTGTATATTGTATGCAAATCATAATAATTTTCAATTATTTTTCTCTTATTGACTAATATCTCATATAAAATGTTAAAGGATTGTGATGATGGAGCAGTCTTATCTTCCAGTACTTCCCTGTTAACTCTGATGCTGCCTTTGAGCTGAAATGTATATAGCTTATAAAGATAAAAAGAATTTACCAGGGGAAGGCATTGTGGAGAAGTAGGTTGAGCTACTACTTGGGATTCACATACCTATCATCATAGTGCCTGGCCTGAGTCCCAGCCTCTGTGCTTCTGATCCATATCTCTACTAATGCATCCTGGGAGACATCAGATGATGGCATAAGTGCTCTGGGCTTTGGTCTTGCCCAGGTCTGGCTGTTGCAGCCATTTGAACCAGTGGTTGGAAGATTCTCTCTCTCTCTCTCTTTCTCTCTCTCTCTCTCTCTCTGGCTCAGAAGAAAATAAAATAAATAAATAAACATTTTTAAAAGAATAATGTGTGATATCTCTCTAATTGAGGATTTGTTTTATAAATGGATATGGTATTTAGCCTTTTTGGGGGGGGCAGGCAGAGTGGACAGTGAGAGAGAGAGAGAGAGAGAGAGAGAAAAGTCTTCCTTTGCCATTGGTTCACCCTCCAATGGCCGCCGCAGCCGGCGCACTGCGGCCAGCACACCGTGCTGATCCGAAGGCAGGAGCCAGGTGCTTATCCTGGTCTCCCATGCAGGTGCAGGGTCCAAGCACTTGGGCCATCCTCCACTGCACTCCCAGGCCACAGCAGAGAGCTGGCCTGGAAGAGGGGCAACCGGGACAGAATCCAGCACCCTGACCAGGACTAGAACCCGGTGTGCCGGCGCCGCAAGGCGGAGGATTAGCCTAGTGAGCCACGGCACCGGCAATGGATATGGTATTAACAACATTTAGTTGCTGTGTTTTTTAAAAATCATGATCTAGTACCGCTCTGTTTCTTCTTATCTGGATAGATCATCCTTAGTGCCTGTGGTATCCTATTAGGAACCCCATCAATGATGGGATAGGCTATTCCCAACTCTTCATTAATCAATTCATTTGTTGATGCCTCAAATTGAGCAGCTTCTTGGACAGGAGGCACACCATGAACTACAGCAGCACCTAGTTGAAGGCACTGGGTGGCTGCCCCACCCTTTCACTCCCAACTGCCAAGGGCCACAACTTTGTCACATGCAGGCACCTACAGATGCCCACAGCACTGAGGCTAGCCTTCCAACCACTTCCCAGTGTGCCCCTGGCCAGCCGCATGGTGGCCCCACTAGCCTGTCACTGTGATCTCTTAACACAGTCAGAATTCCATTGTTCCTTTCTTGTGGGGAAGGTTAGTTCTAGGTATATAAGAAAAACTTTTATAGTATATTTGCAATTACAACACTAACACAGATGGAATATATTTCCATTGTGTTTTTCTTACTGTCAGCATACAGAGCATAAAATAGGCTTCATCTTACATTAGAGACACATAAAGCACACCGAGAGAATGGATTCCCTATTTACCTGTTTTGTGACCCAGAGCTGAAATGCTGAAGACAAATGCTCTGTAAAAGATATTGGTGTCATAAGACCAGACTGTTATGTCCACCCAATGTGAGTAACAGCATCTGGACAATGATCAGAGGACCCTGTACAGGGATGTGATGCTGGAGATCTACAGCAGCCTGCCATGCTGGGGTGAGTGACACTCCCCAGTCACACCCAAATCTACCTATTTCATCTCATTTGATAAGCAAGTAGCTACCTTATAAGGTGTAATTCTGTTTAGGTATAGAATTTGAGTCCATGAAGGATGTGAGTATCCACATTCTCCAGCAAAGGATTTAAACTGGCCCTTCTGTTGCACAACTCCTGAACCCAAGCCATTGTCTTTCAAAGAACTTGACTTAATGATGACAAATTCCTTCTTCCTTTCTTCCCCTCTTCCCCTCTCTCTCTCACCCCTCCCCCTTTTTTTGCTTTCTTTGAAAGGAACAGTTAGAGAGCTCTCCCATCTGCTGGTTCACTCTCCAAATGACCACAACAGCTAGGTGTGGGCCAGACTGAATCCAGGCACCTAGGACTCCATCTGGGTCTCCCTGACATGGGTAGCAGGGTCCCAAATATTGGAGCCAACTTCTGTTTTCCCAGGTGCATTAGCAGAGAGCTGGATTGGAAGTGGATCAGCCAGGACCCGCTGCACACAGAGATTTAACCTGCTGGGCCACAATGCCAGCATGAAGTACAACTAGACTAGATTGTGTTTGAAGAACTGCCTGCTGCAGTTGTTTCTCCTCAACCCTTTCCTAATTATAATCAGTCCCGCTCTTGTGAGATCTCCAGGGCACCCTCACCCTCCAAATGACCATGTAAATACTCTCAGCTTTTCCAAACCTCCAGACCGAGTGCAGGCGGGGAGTGTTTTTGTGTTTGCCCACATATATAAATACCCTCTTTTCAGTTGAGTTTCTGAAGAGGATAAATGTTTCCCCTCCTCCCTCGGTGCACTTGTCTGTCTCCCAGCACTCCCCACAGTGCGGCAGAAATTGTAATATTCAAAGAGACAAGAACTGCCTGGCTCTAGACTGCTACACATGAAACAGGAGACTAGGAATACAGCGTGGGACTGAAAGAGCCCTTAGGAGGGATGAAGTGGAGTAGAGAGCTGGAATTCCAACCAGGGAAGAGATGCAATTCAGGGGTAGGCTAGGAAGAGAAAGAGGGGTGAGGGGTAAGTTGTTAAAGTATTTGCAAAGTCAAAAACCCAAGGGGCTTAGCAAGATGGGGAGGAACAAGTAGGTAAGGGCTAAGTTGGAAAGAGGTGAGGGACCACCAGAGTCTGCAAGTGATTACGGGGTAAGTTTAGGGGACCCAGAGGGTGACCTTCAAACAGTGGCCTGAGCCCCAGATTAAAGGTAGGGGTAGCAGGGAAGTGTAGGGGGCGGGGCACCCCGGGTAGAGACTGAACGGGCTCCCAGAATCTGCAGAGAGTGGAGAGAGAAAGGGGGCAGAAGGCAAGGGGTTCAGCAGCGGGAGAAGCCCTGGAAAGATGCTGGGGTGGCTGAGGGTTGGGACGGGGATGGGGGAGGGGGCTCCTGGAGAGCACACGAGTCGTGCAGCAGGAGCCCTTGTCCACGGGACGGACCTGTATCGGCCGTCCGGGTCGCGGGCGGGAACCCCGGAACCGTGGTCGCATAGCCACTTCTCCTGCACCGGGGGACCTTGGGGCGGGCTCCACCGCGCCTCCCTGAGGGACTGGAAGGAGGAGGGCTGGCGGGAGAAACGACCCGTTGACTGACAGCAGGTATCGCCCAGGAGCCTGAAACCTTAGCCGCCGGCTGTCCCGCGCAGGTGCCGAGCGGCACCGTCCCGGGAACTTGGAAGAGAAGTGACGCAAGCGCGCCGGGTTTGCCGGCCTCTCCGCGCAGGCGCAGCAGAACTGGCGAAAAGCGCGCGGCGGCGGTCCAGTGGCCGTAGGAGCCTGGCGTTAAGGATTCTTTTCCCTCCTAACAGGTTCCTGCGTTAGCAGCCGTGAGGTGGTCTCCAAGTTGGAGCCAGGAATAAAGCTGTGGTGGTGGAAGAAGCCCTCAGCCTGAGCCTCTCAGGTCCGTCAGCGCCTTCTGAGTCGGAGGCTGGGACGAGGAGGAGTCAGCGGGTGTGCTGCGTGCTTCTCCCGGTTCCTCCTGCGCTCCCGGTCTTGAGGAGAGTTGGTTCAGGCATCTGCAGTCTCCATGGTAGGCCCTCCTGTGTGCATCCATCCTCCTTGTGTTCTGTTGTCACTGACTGTGCCAGTGTTTTATTTTTTGTCTACACTTTGTTGAAACGGGTTACTCCCGTTAGTCCTGGAATCCTGGTCCGAGTCTGACCTCTATTTCCTTCTCTGACCCTGTTGGATACCCTTGTACATAAAGACAGTCGTGTGTGGTGCTATAATAGTTTTACTTGGATTTTAGTCGTTTTATTGTCATTATCCCCCTTCATGTTGATCCTCAGTTTCATTCAAAGTTGCTGTGAAATTCTGTTTCCCAACCACAAGGTCCTCTCTGACTTCTGATCGGATTTGCTTTTAGCTTAGATCTCAGCAGATCCCCAGTCAGGACGGACACTTCACCCAGGTCTTCCCAGGTGACCAGGCTACATGCTGATGGGTGCTCTAGCTGTAGTCACGCCTTTCTTGTTGTGCATGCTGAGGACAGGCCTGCAAATCACCCTCCCACCTCCACTGCTGCCCTTTGGGAAAAGCACGTTAGCCCTAGTCATGGCCTTTGAGGATCCCCCAAATGCAGTCATGAGATGCAGACCTGCAATACAAGAATAAACAGATTTAAAGGGAAATAAATGCTTATTTGTGTTTTGTAAAAAATTAAACAAAGGCGAGGTAGCTATTCTTCCCTCAGAATTGACTTAAAGATAATTTTTTTAGAGACTGAGAAAAATCAGTTGTTTTAAGAAATTTAATTAAGTGTATTTAAAAGCTATACTTTTTTGTATATTTCTGTCAACTCACATATATAAAGTGAAAACTAGTGTAAGGGAGCTGGCAGATCGTAGTAGGAGACATAGTCACCTCTCTCCATGGGTTTATAGCTGGAGTACAGCAAGGAAACAGGGGTAAGAAACAGAAAAGAAGAAAACAAAAGTAGGACCTGGACATGGAAGCTTTATTCAAACTGGATGCCCCAAATATTGATGCTCATTTTTTAATTTTTCACCAAGCTGGGAAGATATGATCCCAAAGCACTGATCCTGTCCTGCAACTGCTTTGTATCAGACAAGCGTCTTGCAGAGTATCTCTGCTCCCCAGAGTATCTTTCAGGCAGTTGGGAGGAGACCCAGGCTCCGAGAGGGATCAGGAGTGGGTTGAACTGGGGAGGTATATATTTGGACAGAGCTGAAGCCAGGCTTACTTGGGAAGGTAGTGACTTCAGGGCCTTCTTCCTGAGCCTGCATGTCTCAAACATGAGGTCAAGGGGTAGAGGGAAGGAGTGACTGGGAATGATGGGACTCACTGTGAGTGCAGCATGGATTATGGATGAGGCTGCACACATTCTATCCACACTGTGAGTCTTATCTGTCTCCTGAGGTGGAGCAGTTTCAGTACCTGGTCACCTGGTTCAGGAACCACCAATGGCAGTGGGTAGGACCTCATTTGCTTTTGCTTTCTGAGATGTGTGCAGCTGCTCCTGTGACTGGACTAGGGTTCTGATTTCTCTGCCTTTCTTGACCACCACTCATACTGTGTTCATCAAGATCCTTGCATATCCCCTGGTCTCCAGATGAGACATGGGGATCATTTTCCTGATGAAGAAATTCTGTATTTATCAGTGAGTAGCATAGTTCTCTCTTTTACCAGGGTTGCAGATATACTGTTAGTGTCCAGGAGATCCAAACATGCTCAAGCTGCTTACATGTGAACTTGGCTTACACACTATACATTTCTTGACACTGCAAGCTAAGCAAGCCTGCCAGGCGTTGGGTGGACAGAAGCAAGTGGGTTGTGAATCTTGCATGGCCTGTCCCAGAGGAATCAGCAGAATGCAAAAGTGAGACAGGAATGAGTAGAGCAAATTGGGGTCAAGGAGAGATCCTGTACGGTATGGCTGGGTGCAGAGATAGCAGGATCTTGCTGGGCAGAAAGATCTCACAATGTGCCATCATCCCTAGCCCCTAGTTCCCTACCTGCAAGTAGCCACCGCTGCACCGTCGTTTCTTTGTCTTTTTCCACTCTACTCTCTATATCTTTTTCCTCTTTGGTTTGGCTTTAGCTTTTTCCAATTTTTCTAATTTCTTAAGGTAGAAGGGTAGTTTACTGATATCAGATATTGTTTTTAAAATATCCCCCATTCACTGGTTTACTCCCTAGATGCCCACAACAGCCAGAGCCAGACCAGGGTGAGGCCTAGATCCTGAAACTCCATTCCTGTCTCTCTCATGCACGGAAGAGACTCAGGTACGTGATCCATCACTTGTGTGCACATTTTCAGGAAGCTGGAATATTGGGCAGAACCAAGGCTCAAATCCAGGACATGGACACTTAAAGGGGCATTTTAACCACTAGGCCAAATGTGCGCCCCTAATTTTCTCTTGTGATCCTTCATAATCAGAAAATACCTCCTGTGAGTTCAGTCCTTTTAACATTTATTTAGTCTGTTTTATGACTTAGTGAATCTTATATGCATTTTGGCTTTTCAGAGTTCAGATATAAACAAGATAATATATTTGCCTTTCTGTGCCTGACTTGTGTCACATAATATAATGTGCTCTATTCATGTATCTTGTCATGTGACAGAATTTTCTTCTTTTTCAATCTGAGTAGAATACATTTTAAGTCCATTCATGTGTTGGTGAACATGTTCATGGATTTTATTTCTTATGTACTCTACATGGGAGTACAGCTGTATCTTAAATATAATGGTTCATGTTCAAATATATACTTAGTTTTGGAATTACTAAATCCAATGCAAGTTCTATGTTATGTTTTTAGAGGAAACTTCATACTGCTTTCTAAGCTGTCTGATTTAATTTACATTTCCAGAGACTATTGTACTTATGAACACTTACTATTTTGCATCTTTTTGATAGTAGCTATTCCATCAGGTGAAAAGTGATACATTATTTTTGTTTTATTTGTGTCTCATCATTAATAATATCAAAGATGTTTTCATATGTTGACCATTTATATATCTTCTATTGAGAAATGTCTATTTGGGTCCTTTTCCTGTTTTAATAAAAATATTTGAGTTATTTTGAGTACTTAGATTCCCTTATACATATTTGTTGTTAGCCTCTTACTTTCTAATGTGTGGCTTTTCTCTTCACTTTGTCATTTTTCTTGCAGTATAAATATTTTTTAATTTCCTATAATCCTAGTAATCTGTGTTTCTTTTAATGCCTGGCTTTTGGCATCACATCCAATAAATCATTTTCTGGACTGATGTCTTGGGACTTTTTCCTGTTCTGTTAGTACTTTTCTAGTTTTAGATTTTATGTTTGAGCATGAAATCTATTTTTTAGTGATTGCATGTAAATATTTAGATGTAGCCAATTTATCTTGCATGTGGATGGCACATTTTTTTCAGCAGGATTTGTTGAAGAGACTACTATTACTACATTTTATGTTTACTACATTTATGTACCTTATTTGAAAATCAGTTAATTGTCAATTTTCAGGTTTATGTCTGGGCTTTCTGTCCTAGTCCATCAGTCAACGTTTCTGTTTTTGTGCCAGTACCATGCTGTAGCTTTGTAATACATCTAGCTTTGGTGTTTTTGCTAAAGATTGTTTTGGTGATTCTGAATCTTTCCTGTTTATACAAATTTTAATATTTTTTTCTGTTTCTGTGAAGAATGACATTAAAATTTTGATTGGGATTGCATTAAATATCTACATTGTTTTGTGTGTGTAGGAAGGACATTTTAACAGTATTATTTTTCTGATCTATGAACATGGACTAGCTTTCCATTGTTTCTGCTGTCTTCAATTTCCTTTACTCATATGTCACACTTTTGAGTATACAGATCGTTCTCCTTATTGGTTAATTCAATCATAAGTAGTTTTATTTTTTGATGTTTAAATGAGAGCTTTATTTTAACTTTTTTGATTTATTTATTTATTTATTTGAAAGGCAGAGTTACAGAGAGGCAGAGGCAGAGAGAGAGAAGTCTTCCACCCACTGGTTCACTCCTGAAATGGCTGTGGTGGCCAGAGTTGGGCTGATCTGAAGCCAGGAGTCAGGAGCTTCTTCCAGGTATCTCAAGTGGGTACAGGGACCCAGGGTCCTGTGCCATCTTCTACTGCTTTCCCAGTCCATAGCAGAGAGCTGGATTGGAAGTTGAGCATCCAGGACTGGAACCATTGCCCATGTGGGATACTGGCACTGCAGTCAGCAGCTTTCTCCCTATACCACAGTGTGGCCCCCCACAATGTATTTTTAATTACTGCTTTAATCTCTGTCATTTCCTTTTCTTGCTGATTTTCTTATTTAGTGTTTTTTCTAATTTGTTGAGCTATAACATTAGATAATTAAGTTGTTTATTTCATATCTTCTTTTTTGTTGTGGTGATATTGTACTACATTTTGCTACATCCTATTAGCTTTGTATGCTGTTTCCTTATTTTCTTCAAGGTATTTTTAGCTTCCCTCTTTAGTTTTTCTTTGATCCTGTAGTTATTTAGGGTTGTATATAGCTTAGTTCCTACATATTTGTATATTTTCTAATTCACCTATTATTAATTTCTATTTTCAGACCACTAGGGTGTGAAATTATACTTGATATGATTTTAATCTTAAACTTGTTGACATTATTTTTGTGGCTTAATGTATGACCACATATATTCTATGTGTACTTTGGATGACTTTTGATTTTATTGTATTGTTCTTGGACAAAATATGTTTTTTTTGTTTGTTCTTTTTCTAGATTTTATTTATCCCAAAAGTTACCTTTAGCAAGGTCAGAAGTACTTTGGGAGCTTCCAGTTTTATCATGAGGTCTTTGACTCTAATAAATCTTGCTTTTAAATCTCAAAAAATTATTTTTTATTTATTTATTTGGGAGGCAGAGCTACAGAAAGGGAGAGACAGAGAGAAAAGTCTTCCATCTGCTGGTCTGCTCCCCAAATGGCTGCAATGGCCGGAGCTGAGACAATCTGAAGCCCAGAACCAGAAGCTTCTACCAGGTCACCCTCACAGATTCAGGGGCCCAAGCACTTGGGCCATCCTCCACTGCTTTCGCAGGCCATAGCAGAGAATTGGATCAGAAGAGGAGCAGCCAGGACTAGAACTGGCACCCACATGGGATGCCTGCACCATAGGCGGAGTCTCAGCTCACACCATAGCACCAGCCCCCAGAATGTTTTGTATATGTCTGGTAGGACCATTTGTTCCTAATGCATAATTCAGTCCCAATGTTTTCTTGTTGATTTTCAATCTAGATGCTCTATTGTTGAAAATGGGATTTGAAATCCCTGCCTTTATTGTGTAATAGTCTGTTTTCCTTTAAATTTCTTATATGTATTCCTGTGTTTTAGAGACAGAGAGATAGTCTGAGTTTAGGTGTGTGTATAATTTTATATCCACTTGATGAACTGATACTTTTATCACTATACAGTGACCTTTGTCTCTTTGTTACAGCTTTGGCCTAAAGTCTGATTTAGTTGATCTGACTTATAGTTACCTCTGATTATTGTTGCTTTTCATTTACATTGATTATCTCTTTCCATCCCTTCACTTCCAATCTATAAATGCCCTTTAAAGTAAATGAGCCTCTTGTAGCCTCTATATAGTCATATCTATCTTTTTTATGTTCTCCATCCATTGTTTGCCTTTTATTTAGAGAATTCATTTACATTCAAAATAATTATTAAGAGGTGAGGATTTATTACTATTTTATTAATACTGTTGTTTTATAAATTCATCTTTTTTTCATCTCTAACCAATATCCTTTGTGACTTGATGATTTTCTATAGTGACATACTTTGAATCTTTTAAAAAAATCTTTTTGTTATCTTTATTTCAAAAAGTTAATGAAATTAGAATTAAAATATAAGTTTATTTTGGTGAAAAATATTTTGAAATTACACATTTTCCTAAACTTTTAAGAGATCCCTCATGATATAGTTGTTTGCCTAGTGGTTTCCTAATTCTTCTATTAAAAAACAAAACAAAACAAAACAAAACAACTCTAGGTTGAGAGCCTTAATTCTGATATCATTCAAAGACTATCCTTTTACTCCCCCTCCTCCTACATTTTATGTTGGAATGTCACATTTTCACCTTATACTTTGTATCATTTAGGAAATGTTGCAGCTATAGTTATTTTTCATTTATTTATTTATTTTATTTAAGAAGTAGAGATACAGATGGAGAGAGGTAGAGAAGAAAGAAAGGTCTTCTGTGCATGGTTCTCTCCCCAAATAGCCACAACAGCTGGAGCTGGGGTGATCTGAAGCCAGGAGCCAGGAGCCAGGAGCCAGGAGCTTCTTCCAGGTATCTCATGCAGGTGCAGGGGCCCAAGCACCTCAGCCATTTTCTACTGCCTTCCCAGGCCATAGCAGAGAGCTGAATCAGAAGCAGATTAGCTGACATGATCCTGAGACAAGAACTGGTGCTGACCTGGGATGCCAGCGCCACAAGTAGAGGCTTAGCCCAGTATGCCATAGCTTCAGCCCCTATAGAGTGGCTTTTAACCTTTTACTAGTGATATAATTTATCAGTCCTCCATAATTAGAATTAGAGGTTTGAATCTGATACTGTATGCACACTGGCTGATGAGCTTTGTATTTTCACATGATTTCTTTTTTTTTATTTATTTTTATTTTGACAAGTAGAGCTATAGACAGTGAGAGAGAGAGACAAAGGTCTTCCTTCTGTTGTTCACTCTCCAAATGGCCACTATGGCTGGCACTGCACTGGCCTGAAGCCAGGAGCCAGGTGCCTCCTCCTGGTCTCTTGTGGGTGCAGGGCCCAAACACTTGGGCCGTCCTCCACTGCCTTCCCAGGCCACAGCAGAGAGCTGGACTGGAAGAGGAGCAACCAAGGCTAGAACCCAGCACCCATATGGGATGCTGGCACTGCAGGCGGAGGATTAACCAAGTGAGCCACAATGCTGGCCCCTCACATGATTTCTTTATACTAGTTAGTATCCTCTTCCTTCCCCTTGAAGAATTTCCTTTAGCAGTTTTTCCAGTGAATGGCGATAAACACCTTTACCTTTTTTTTTTTAATAAAGTTTCTTTATGTTCCATTTTTGAAATACAGGATCACTGAAAATAATACATTGATTCACATTTTCTTGTTTACTTCTTTCAGGACTTTGAATAAACCATACCACTCCCTCTGGACTGCAAAATTTCTGCTGAAAAATATATTGACAGTCTTACTACAGTTCCATTGCACATAGTGAGTTGTCTTTCCAACACTACTCTCCAAAGTCTGTTTATGTCTTTAAGTGAAGAGCCAATTTTTCAAACCTTCCTTTTAGTAAATGTAAAATGTGCATTTCCTTCCCTGACCCTCTGTCCTCCACCCTTCTTTCTTTACTTAACCCAAAATGAACCCATTTCCTTTCTTCAAAAGTTTTAGAGTAGGAATCTTGCTCTGCCACAGGTGCTCCTGCCCCAGGCCCTGACTTGCTCTGACACACAGCAGCAGGCAGGGATGGTGCTGTGCCTCTTGTCCACTGGATATGCTGAAAGTTACTCCCTGTCTGAAATTCTCCTAGGTAAGGTACCCTGCACTGGTTTCTTCATGCTGGATTCATCCCAAGGGTTAGGGAGGTGGGGGTGATATTGAGGCCTGAATTTCTGAGGGATCCCTCCTTCTTTAGGGCAGTCTCTTCCTAAGGAGACTGTCTGGGGCAGGGTGGG